ACGCCGCGGATGACGGCCCTGACTTTGCGCTCTTCCGGAAGAGCGTATGTATGATAAGAAACTCGTTCGGCTGTGAATAGCCTGGTGAGTCGCCGGAAGTTGTCGATTGATTGGGGGATGATCTTAATAGCCTCCCCGAGGTTGATGGCGTGGTCATATTTTATGCCTGCGTTGTAGCAGGTTTTGGAGAGTTCTGTGAATTTAGCCTTGTCTCTTAGGAAGACAGGGGGCGGGACTTGCTTCTTGGCAAGGACTGGAGCACAGCGAGAGGCTGGCTTGGTCGGAGCGGGAATGTCTAGTGACATAAGTGGGGCTGAGGCAGCGGCGGGGGCTGCGGGGGCAGAGGCGGCAGCGGGAGCTGCGGAGGTTGAAGGAGCGGCAGGGGCCGCTGAGACAGGGAGGGTGCGGTTTTTAGCGGCGCGTTTACCGTTGCGCTTGGAGTTCACCGTGGTGAACGAAGAATCCCCGGTTCCGTCGGAGTCACAGGACTCCGATGAGCCGGTGCCAGAATTGGTGGCGGGCCTCTTCCGGGAGGCCGATGCAGAGGACTCGGAGCATGCGTACTCCATTTCTAATGGGGCGAAAGAGTTCTTTGTCTCTAGGTAGGCCGCAAGTACGGGCGGCGGTTGGAGTGCCTGACGGGCAGGGGGAGTAACATGGGCGGCGATGGCGGCAAGGGCCGTCTCATCGAGGTTTAGGCCCAGACCAAGAGTTTGGTTTAGGGCGGCGACGAGGGACTTAATTTGGGTAATTGTGGACATGTTGAGGGCAGTAGTTTTACGAAACGTATTTGATACGGAAGGGGCTAGTGGGTGCTGTTCTGAAAAGAACAGAGACGTTATGTACCTAAACAGTAAGGGCGGGATCACCGTTCTGAGAAGAACGGGACGTTCTTAATTCTAGGAGTAAGTGCCCCTGCTCTCAAAAGAGCAGGGCCTTGCTCTGAAAAGAGCAAGTAACTCCCTAGAAACAGTATATACACGTACACGTTATACAAATAAATAACGAAAACAAAATTAGAAATAGTTAACAAAAGAATTAACAATAAAAATAACAATAACAAGCAAGACCAACAGTCAAACCGCCCCGTCCAGAGACAGGGAGGTAATAACTGGAGTTAGCGTAAAATGACTCACCAAGGCGTCGACGCTGTAAGCGCGAGCAGGACAGCGGAGGCGCGAGAGCGAGAGAGCACTACCGTACGGGGACGGATGCGCGGACTACCTGGACACGACCGCTCGAGAGCGGTGCCACAGGCGGAATCGAGCTCACCGTCCGAGACGCCCTTCTTATATCTCGCCGGAGAGCGTCTCGGGTTGTGCGTAGCGCCGTCCGCGATGCCGCGCGCTCATTGGTCGGCGACATCGCGTGATCTGCTGCCGGTGGGCGGGGTGCGCGGGGCTCACCGGGGTGTGAAGGGGCGACGGGGCGGCGGCCTCCTCGCTGTCCGCTACACTTATATTTACGCGAACACTACACATTGAATAAAACTATTTTTACGGATTTTATCGCGTTTAATTAACTTATTTCATATTCCCGACGTGTCGGTTGCTTTCCAGCAACCGAAACGTTTCCCCCGTGACCACGGTTGCTAGAAAGTAACCGAAACTTCGGGAATATAAAATAAGTTAATTAAACGCGATAAAATCCGTAAAAATAGTTTTATTCAATAATAATAATAAATTTATTTCGGATAACAAATGAGATCCATATCAGAGAAGTTAGAAAAATCACAAAATATTATAATAATACAGCTAGGTGGACGGAGGAGGTAAAATGACACACACGCATCCACCCAATACGCACGCATGCAGGCACGCACACATGTATGTATGCACACATGTTAAGCTGTTACTTTACTTAAACGTAAAAGTCCGAGCCGAGCCCATCAGGAAATGTCTTAAAATTTTGTTTTTAATACCTAAATAGTCCTACTACTTATTATCTTAATACTTTAGAAAACTTCTTGTTTGTGTGTGTGTGACACATAAATTCACCAGAAAAACATTTCCCCTTCTTTTGTAAACCTAATCTAATCTGTATAAATGTAATAATTTTTAAAATCCGATTCTAAAAAATTATAAACCAAATTGAAATAAGTTTCAAGTTTTTAATTCTTCGAAATTAAAACTTTTTAAAGTAACAGGTGCAAAATAAATTGCGCTATGAACGTTAATTAATATCTCATTTTATATTCACTTAAATCCATTTTTGCAAAGAAATGACAGCATCTGTAAAAAATGCACAAAGAAAATATAAGCTTCAAAGAATTCGAGTTTTTATGTAGTCTTAAGAGATTACCCTGAAATATTTTAGGGTGAGCGGAGAGCATTAGAGAAAAGTATTTTAAAATATTTTTGTTTTGGAGTTGTCTGGTTATTAAAGTTTTGTTTTTCTTTTTATAGCCGCCTTTTTAAGATTTACTAATTTTTGTGTCTTGGATCCAAGAAGTAAAACATTTATACTTATAATTTATTTTTATTCGTGTTGTCATTTGGCTCCCCTCCCAAATTAAATGTATTTGACGTTATTGCCAATTTACACAGTATTATATTACTATATAGTATATTATTAAGTAATATAGTATTATCACCTTGTGTCTTATATGCGGCGTAAATATTTTTTGTGCAAGCACAGGTGACACACACTCTCTATTCCCTCACTCTCATACTCCGATGGGACGGTAAACCGACACGACCGAAGAGAGATCAAGCGCAGGACCAACGGCTTTACGTACTTTCCAAGGCACGGGGGTGAGACATCGGCAACTTCTTGACTCCGGGAAGCTACTGAGAATTTTTTAAAATCTCAATAACTGATTTTTCTGCCTCGACCCGGGATTCAAACCCGGGACCTCATGATCAATAGTCGCGTTTACAACCACTAGACCAACGAAGCAGTCAATTCTAGATAGTAAATGATCTGTTACAACAATAAATGTAATATGTGTAACCTTCGGGACGAAATGTCGTGATTTCTTCGCCTAGTAGCTTCATTATTTTTTATTTTATACCAATATGTTCGAGATCACTATACGCCGAAGCAGCAACGTAAGCAGATATTTTTCTAAAAATAAAAAGTAAAATGAGTTCGGTAGCGAAAAACCTAAGAGTTTGATCACTACACTGTGAGTCGCGAGTATGAAACCCGCAGTTTTAAACACGCGCAAATAATTATTGCGTTTAGGCATTTGTCCGAGTATAATTTGTGGACCGCTAACATGACACAGTAGAAATAGTAGAAGTATGTAAGTAATCTACCTAAGTGAACAGTTGTGTGAACTTGTATGTGCCTTTACTACTACCATAGAAGCTCGTTAAATAATTTTAAATTAAGTGTTCTTTTACTGCCAGTATGAGGAAGCTTAAGGGCGTCCTGCGAGCTATAAAGGGTTATGCTTGGAGTGTCTCTGCGTGATAAAATTCGTAATAAGAACATCCGCAGAAGAACCAGATAGCGCTAAAACTGATTCGATCAAACAATTTTTACTAAAACAAATATGACACAAGTCAAGTCATTGATTCAACAGTCTGTTATCATCATCACAGCCCTCTGATGAACATAGGACTAAACATAGATTGCCATAAAGCAGGTCCCAAAGCACCTGCATTTATGTCTCTTACTACTTAAGGCGTGGATTTCCTACGTTAAAAGGTTTTTAGCACTATTGTCCGCTGCATGAATATTTGTCAGCACGAATTAAGTGTGCGACATTTGTTGGATAAAAGTTACTAAATTTGACACGTCTTTGGTTATCATCAGGAAATAAAGGATATGAATAAAAATGTAGCCGATAAAGAGTATAACTCAATAAAATTAATTTCATATAATAGTAAAATATTTTATATTGTTATCGCTTTAAAAAAACTAGAACTCGAAGGTCGCGATTATATTATATTATAATTTTTTGCAGTCTTTGTATTTTAAGCATTAATTCGATTAAGAATTTGTTTGAGTATTTCATGTATACGCATACTTTTTTCGAGTAATAGGAAGGTAAGGTTAGGTAAGGTAAGGTAAGGTAAGGTTGGGTAAGGTAAGGTAAGGCAAGGTTGAATTGATATTTCAAGAACTATCGATTTCGAGCGTAAATATCGTATCTAAAATACGATATTTTTGTTCTACCTGGCCTTAATTCCCCTTTTCAATTTGCCTTTATATTATTTTCTTATTAACCAATACATATATTCATCACCATCATCATCATCATTACAGCCCATCACAAGTCCACTTCTGAACAGAGGCCTCCCCCTAGAAATGCCAAAAGCACGGTCCTGAGCCACTATTACCAGGTCGTCACTCCTTGGGGTGAGGGGCTGCCGTTTCCTTCCTAGTTAGGACTAGAGTTCAAATCATCACAATGGAAGCTAAAAGACTAAGACCATGAGGTAAATTATTGGTTTCTGTGTTACTTGTCACTACATTCGTTCAGTTTTCAGGTTTTGGTTTCAGGATATATGTATATATATATATTTGTTGAAATTGAGTTTATGTAGCCACGTCATCATTACAGCCCTTCATAAGTCCACTGCTGAACATAGCTCTCCCCCAAGGAATGCCACAAAGTCTTGAGCCACCTGCATCCATCGACTTCCTGCATGTCTTACCAGGTCGTCACTCCATCTAGTGGGGGGTCGCCCTACACTTCGCCTACCGGTACGAGGCTGCCACTCGAGAACCATTCTTCGCATTCGCATTTCATCTCATCGCATGCTGAACGCAAATACTCCGACAGTAATATGTGAAAATGAATAATTATTTAACATTCCCAGATTATCTTAAAACAAGACTATTTAAGATAACATTATTTGCGGACTAGGATAACATACTTAGAGATAATCCATCTTAGTCTTATCGCATTAAGTGATTACATTTATTACATTATGATAGAAAAATATTTAGAAAAAAAAAATAGTCGTCTATGCGTATAGTACACGTATAGATTTAGATTATTTGGAACTAAGTGTATTGATTTTTTATTGATTAAGTGTTTTAACGTCATGGCAAGCAAAGTGATTATTTATATTTCGTTTTATTTGTACGTTTTAATACGAGTATCTGAAACTGCTTCTACCGTGCAGACAATAAATGGAAAAATTAAAATAACAGTTGGTACAGCTTCGGGTTGTCGTGACACTGCAAATTTTATAAACCACCAACTCAAACCAGCTTATGATCAGTACAGTCAATTCTTGGAGCTTGAATTTGTGCCTTGGGGTAGAACAAGAAGGAACCAGAATGGAACCGTGACATGCCAATTTGGACCTAACGACTGCTGGGCTAACCGTCTACATAGATGTGCCTTACATTTATTAAAAGGCAATCAGCATGCTCAGTTAAATTATATGTTGTGTGAGTTTTCAAGTTACCCAGCATATTTGCAAACGAGCTATTTGTGTGCACAAGCCGTTGGATTGAACTTGATTGACGTTGATTATTGTATCGTTTCGTCTAGTGATTCCCTTGAAATAATTGCTGAAGAAGCATCAATTGCGCCGATGGAAGCGATAAACTTTGTACCTTTCATAACATTTAATGACGTTATTGATGTTAACGTACACAATCAAGCAAGGAGACGACTAAACAGCGTTTTGTGTTTTGCCTTAGCTGATGATCCTTCTACAGGAATCACTAAGTGCAAAATTTAAGGCACGTTAATTGTTCTACCTAAGAATAATAATTATTTTACATCCTTACAACAATATTTTATTTTGCATTTAGTTTGCCTAATAAATGTTTTATCTTAAACAAATGTTATAAGACTGTATCTTTACGATCAAGAAAATTCTCGTTCAAAGTTTAAATTGTAACCTCTGTCTTGTCATAATTGACAAACTTGGGCAATTGGACAATCATCGCACTCAAATACCTCTCATAACGTAGTAATTTTGAAAGATAACCGTTAACGATGCCATTTTGTATTCTTAATGTTGTTAAGAAATAGCCATTGTAAGTTTATATAGCTGCTGAATAAGATTTGTTGGTTTTATTGTTTAACTTTTTTATGAAAACTTTTTGCACACTTTTAAAAAAAATTTGTAATGCGAATGATAAATAAACAATACTCTAGTTTTTATTTTAATTAAGTATTTGAAATGTAAATTTAAAACACAGATCATAGAAAAGTTTCTTGATAACATGCGACCTAAATTGTTATTTTTTTATTTACCTATATTTGTTACTTTTATAATTGATCTTAATGTTCAAGATTATTGACAATAAATACTTACATACATATTTTACTAATAAAACCATAAGTTGGCATGATTTTATTACCAGCTGTACACAGTCAAAATGGCTTATTAAAATAAAATATCTTTTTTGTTTGGAAAGTACGAGTAGTCTTTATTTTTATATTTATACGAGTACAAGATTTTGTTGCTTCTTCTTTTTTAGTTAAGTAACATAATTTCTAAAGCATGGGGAATTTATTAATGGGGATTTATGGTATAATGTAATGAAAAATATGGAATGTTAGGTGTAGTGGATTATGTGTTGTCGCCTCTTTTTTTATAGAATAAGGGTGACAAACGAGCACACAGTCCACCTGATGGTAAGTGGTTGGTGTGGCCCATAGACATCTATATCTATCTTCGTTTGCGAATTAAGATGCAGATGCGTCGTCAGCCGTTAGGACTAAGAACTTCTGATAACTAAGAAGGAATGCCTTATAGCCTGTAAATATACTGGCTCTCTATATCCTTTGAACCGAAGATGGTAGTCAGTATACAGATACTGCCAATACCGTTTCTGTAACGTGTTGCTAAATTAAAATATGGGGCGCACAATGACACCCTTTTTCACATTATTTTTGTATGTCTTTAAGTTTTAGAACAAACTTAAAAATCAACCATACTATTATACTATATCTAAAACTCGGTGGTCCATGGTAAGATAAAAGATTCCGTTAAATTGTCCCACATTACTAAAAGGTAAGGAACCACTACTATAAACAAACGATATATTCGATTAGGTAGTTTTTCTCTGTATCAAATTTTAGTGTATATAATATTTACATTGTGTTTTCTCTGATATTACATTGGAAATTAATCTGCTACGCGTGGTAATTACATCATAAAACCCAATTATGGTCAACGGTTATTATATTTCAGGGATAACAATTTATAATATGTTTACTAGTATGTGCTGTCCGAATAATTATTCTGTAGAATGGCATTAAAAACAATGACTTATTGTTTCGGGACTGGATGTATGTTTATGTGTAATTTATGATCTAAAACGCCTTCATGATTAACCTGTATAAATTCATGGTAATGAATAGGTTATAGTATGATGGTAACGTTTTTTATAATTTCATACATTCATCATCAAACCTATCAAAGACCTCTGTTGAACATAGGTTTCCCATAGATTATTACTTTATAGGGGGATATTTGGAATAGTTGTTACTTGCCACTCTTGATGGGAGGGTTAGCAACTAAGGTTTTTTTTTAACTTTGTAGTTGTTATTAGGAAGACGTTTCTGCCCATCTCCTATGTTATTTCCCTCTGTTGCCTTTTACAACACCAAGTGACAATTTGGGGTAGTGGATTTAATTCATCGGTACTCTCTTGACACCGAATTTAGAAGCTATTTTATGTGCAAATTATTTTAAATTAAATGGTATTAAAGTTTATTTTTTATTATTACTGTGTTGCAGATATGGCTCATACTGCTGTTCATTTCTCGTTACAATTTCCATCTGTTGCCTTTTACGAGACACACGGAATGGTATAGGTAAGTGGATTATTTGATTTCATCATTGATCAATTAGTTATTATATAATCTTTATATATAAACATTACGTGTCACACTGTTTGTTCGCAATGAAACTACTAAACTGATTGCAATGAAATTTTGCACAGTGTGTGCAGTTTGGTTCAACTTGAGAGATAGGATAGTTTTTATCCCTATAAGTGACCTCAATATTTTTTTGTTACAAATTTAATATTTTTTATGGGAAAGGTCTACGGAAAGGGCAGAACAACGTCTGCCTGGTCAGCTAGTTATTATATATGTTATAACATGATCATTAGTTATAAGTGGTTGAGCCATGCTGCAGCTTTATTACGGTTGTAGCACGAATGGGTCGGCTCAACCGGGGAAGGGTCACGCTCTCACAGAATACCAGCGTAAAATAGCAATTTAACGCTGCCGTGTTTCGTACGGTGAGTGTAGAGAACCGGAGACTCTTTTTGCTGAAGGCGAGGCATTCCGTCTTAGTAATCACGGGTGACAACGCATCTGCATTTTGAGTCGTAATCGAAGATACATGTAGATATCTATGGGCCACAGCAACCACTTACCATCAGGTAGACTGTGTGCTCGATGTCATCTTATCCTATAAAAAAATGTAAAATAAATAAATATTTATGAATAATTTTTTTTCTGTGTAGTTATCATATTTTGATATAGCTTCCCTAGATTATTTTATGCTGTAATACTTATATCTTATCAAAGACATTACTCCTATCTTATATTAACACCTTACCTGTTCCAATTTGTATATTGTTGCTTATTGGTTTTTATCACAAATCCTCGAAACATTTAATATCTTAGTCTTGCAGGTTTACCGAATGATTATTTATACGTCAGGTGCCTGTGAGGACTGGATTTGGTGAATTGGTTTTTAGCAACACGGCTTGTCCACAATTAGCCGAGCGTAAAAGGGAATAAATATATCCAAATAGGAAGAGCCTGTAATACCCTACACATTGATATAAACACACTTTTCTGCCGACTTCCAAAAAGGAGACGCTACTCAATTCGACTGTATGTTTTTGTTTTATAGGAGAAGAGGCAAACGAGCATGCGGCTCACCTGATGGTAAGTGACTACCGCCGCCCATGAACAGCTGCAACACAAGGGAGGGAAACGCAGATGCGTTGCCGGCCTTTTAAAAAGGAGTACGGTCTTTTCTTGAAGGTCCCTAAGTCGTATCGGTCCGGAAAAATCGCTGATGCTAATCGATTCCACAAGGAATCGTGCGAGGAAGAAAACATCTTCCAAATCGCACAGTGGTGGACCGCCAATCATCCAAATGGTGTGGATGGTATCGGGAGTTCTGCCGCGATGTGCGTTCGTGAAATTTGGCGGCTGGGATTAATCCGAACAATTCCTCAGAGCACTCCTCATGGTAGATGCGAAAGAAAATGCAAAGGGGTGCAACATCTCTTCGCAGTGCCAATGAATCGAACCAATCGGAAAGGACTCGGTCGTCGACAATTCGAGCCGCTCTGCGCTGGATGCGGTCAAGTGGAAGGAGCTGGCACTGGGGAGCCCCTGCCCAGAGAAGGAAACAGTATTCCATGTGAGGCCGAACCTGCGCCTTGTAAAGTTGCAGGCGGTGTGCCGGCATGAAATACTGTCCCGCTCTGCTGGGCACGCCAAGCTTTTTAGAGGCCAATTTGGCCTTCTCTTCCAAGTGACCACGAAACTGCACGTCACTCGATATGTCGACTCCGAGGATTCCGATACTGGCTGAGGCAAGAAGGGGAGTGCCTTGAAACTGAGGAGATACGACAAAGGGGTTCTTTTTAGCGGTAAACGCGCAAACTTGTGTCTTCTGAGGATTAAACGACTAGATTTAGGACGAGACTTTGTTCAGCAGAGACTCGACTTCAGACACAAGTTTGTTCCGGTACTCGGCGACGTTTTCCCGAGAAATATTGGCACGGCCGGTGTATACAGCATCACCAGTGCTGTCATCCGCATAGCAATGAATGTTACCAGTTAGCAACATATCATTGATATGCAGAAGAAACAGCGTCGGTGATAGCACACAGCTTTGTGGAACACCAGAGTTAATAGGCTTGTAGTCGGAGCATGCACCGTCTACAACGACCTTGATGCTCCGATCTGCAAGGAAGCTGGTGATTCAATCGCATTTTTTATGTGTGTTACCTCATAACTTTTTACTGGGTAAACCGATTTCGATGATTCTTTTTTTGTTTGAAAGCTGATACTTCTGTGTGGTCTTATATGAATTTGATCAAGGTCAGACCAATAGTTATTGAGTTATTATTCTTAATAACTTATATTGAAGTCGGCTGTACTAAGTTTTTAATTTTTAATTATTTATTTTAATACTTGTAATAGTGGTATTAGAGTTACTTTTCAGTAATCAGTCTGGAAAGCCAACACCCTCTCACCTATTCCTGCGCCCAACACCAGTGCGAGCTCTGCTGTGTTTCAGCTTTAAGGGTAAAGAGAATCAGTATAATTAAAGACTATGAGTAAGTCTATCCCATCTAAATTAGCAGATAACGCAACTGTAGTCGTCTTTGTTTGAAGTTGGTTGCAGATATACAGCGGCTGCAGTAGCCACTTGCCATAAGGTGCATTGTAAGTTTGTTAGTCACTTCAAATTTATAAAAAAAAATTATTAAAATGTAAGCAAGCAATGTAAGCTCCGTGGCGCAGTGTCTTAGCAATCAGTTGTTGAGCTGGGGACCGCGGGTTCGAATCCCGCACAGAACAAGTATTTGTATGGCCTACAAATAATTGTTCCGGGTCTGGATGTTTGTCCTTGTGCAATTTATGTTTGTTAACTACCTCCACGACACAGGAGAAAATCCTAGTGTGTGGTTAACGTTTTTTAAAAGAGGAAAATAAACAAAAAAAGAGGAAAAAAGCAGCAAAAATAAT